GATTTCTGCTGTGTCTGTTGTGATTTCTCCTCTGTCATTTGTGATCAATGATTTATTTGTGCTTTCTCCTGTTTTTCCTTTGTGAGCCTGGCTAGGGGTTTTTCTATTTTATTTATTTTTTCAAAGAACCAACTTTTTGATTTCATTGATCTTTTGGATTTTTTTTTTTAGTTTTGATTTCATTTATTTCTGCTTTAATTTTTATTATTTCTTTTCTTCTGCTGGTTTTGGGGTTTTTTTGTTGTTCTTTTTCTAGTTCTTTGAGCTTTGAGATTAGGTTGTTTCTTTGAGTTCTTTCTTGTTTCTTGATGTGAGCCTCTATTGCTATATATTTTCCTCTTATTACTGATTTTGTTGCGTTCCGTACGTTTAGGAAATTGGTGTCTTCCTTGTTATTCAACTCAAAGTATTTTTTAATTTCTTCTTTGATCTCCTCATTTGTCCAGTGGTTTTCCAGTAGTATGGATTTCAATCTCCATGAAGTGGGCAGGTTCCTTTTCTTTTTTCATGATTTATTTCTAGTTTGATGCCTTTGCGATCAGAGAAGATAGTTGGAATGATTTTGATCTTCATGTATCTGTTGATGTTTGTCTTGTGGCCCAGTATGTGATCATTTCTGGAGAATGATCCATGCACGCTTGATAAAAATGTATACTTGGATTTTTCTGGGTTCAGTGTCCTAAAGATGTCTGTTAAGTCCATGAGTTCTATGTCTTTATTTAGGGCTCTAGTGTCTTTGTTTATTTTTTGTCTTGTTGATCTGTCCATTGGTGAGAGTGGGGTGTTGAAGTCTCCCACTGTATATGTATTTTCTTTAATGTCTGTTTTCAGAACTGATAATAATTGTGTAATATATTTTTGTGCTCCTTCATTTGGCTAGTATATGCTGATGATTATATCTTCCTGATGTATTGTCCTCTTATCATAATGTGGTGTCATCTATGTCTCTTAACCTTTTCAAATTTGAAGTCTGTTTCATCAGATATAAGTATAGCTGTTCCTGCTTTCTTTTTTGGTCCATTTGCTTGTAGGATTGTTTTCCAATCTTTTACTTTCAGTCTATTTATCTTTTGTGGTTAAATGTGTTTCCTGGAGAGAGTAGAAGTTTAGGTTTTGTTTTTTAATCCAGCCTGCTACTCTGTGTCTTTTTTTTTTTTTTTTTTACTCTGTGTCTTTTTATTGATGAGTTTAAGCCATTTACATTTAGTGGTCTTTTTTCCTTTTATAGATTTATTTATTTATTTATACAAGAACCAGGGTACAGGCCAGATACGCAGGAGGGTGAGAGGATTCACCAGAGATAGATCAAGGAACAGAACAGGCAGACTGACGAAACACACTGCTGAAGGAAGCAGCAGGCAAGACAGGATTGGTCTGCAGCAACGTGCGGGACCCTTGCTGGTGGGCCGGATTGAACTGGCACTGCAGAGGCTATAGACAGCTTCACAGCACTGTGCTCAACCACCTGTGCCACCAGGGAGGCCCTACATTTAGAGTTATTATTGATATGATGGAATCTGTATTTGCCATTTTGTTTGTCTTTTTTGTGATTTTATTCCTTGCTTTATTCTGTTCTTTTTATTCATTCCTCTGTTGGTTTTGGCTTTAGGACTTCTTGTAGAATTTTTTGGAGTGGGAGTTTAGTTGTAATGAATTTCTGGAGTTTCTCTTTGTCTGAGAAGGTCCATCGTTGCATTGGGCAACACCACACTGATAAAGAAATAGAAGTCATGGACCAGGCTACATAATGCAGTATGCTGCTGAAGAGCAAGATCCTGGCCTTTTTATTGATACACAGCATTGGTTGTAAGGGGGAGGAGCAAAAGGAAAAGGGAAGGAGATTTAGGAGGAAGGAGATTAAAGAAAGGGGATGGATGTAGAAGATCAGAGTTTGTGAATCTGCCCTCCAGGTACTTCTTATCTGCTTGATGACTCGGTATTGTCATTGAGATTAAGCCCTAGTTCCCCAGCCATGGTTTTAATCTTATCAACAAGGTGGGTCCTTTGTTATACATCAGTCCTTGCCACCATGTTCCTGGTCATACCTCCTGATGCATAGCCTTCCCACCATGATCCAGCTTTGTGCTCTTGTTTGCTTTGAAGGGCACCTTGCAGGGTTGGGCTCCTGTACCTAACTGACCCAGGCCATTTTGACCTTGCTTAGGATTTAGAACTATAGGTGACAAAATTGTGGCCAAACAGGCTGCTTAGGAGTAGCAGAACCACAGTCCATATTTTTTCTTCATAGAGGAAGGAGAACTTTACAGGGTAAAGTATTCTTGGTTGGCATTTGTTGTCTTGAAATTTGTTGAATATGTTACTCCATTCTCTTCTTGCCCATAGTGCTTCCTTGGAGAAGTCTGAAGTTAACCTGATTGGTTTTCCCTTATAAGTTATCTGTTTCTCCCCTCTTGCCAGTTTCATTATTTTTCCCTTGTCTTGGACTCTTGCGAGCCTTCCTATTATGTGTCGTGCTGTAGCTTTCTTTTCATTATGGGAACTGGGAATTCTTCTTGTTTCTTGTTGTCCACATTCATTTCCTTTTTCATGCTTGGGAAGTTTTCTTCAATTATCTCCTTGAATAATTTCTCAGTTCCTTTGTCTCTCTTCTCATCTTCTGGAATGCCTATGACTCTTACCTTTCCTCTCTTCATGGAGCCTGATAATTGTTGAAGATTGTCCTCCTTCTTCTTCCTTTAAACTTCTCTCTGCTTTTCTCTCTTGGTTCTTTTTATATCTGTATCTTTGAGAGTACTGATCCGTTCTTCCATTTCATTGATTCTTTTTTCATTGCTTTCCCCAGAGTTCTTTATCTCCTCCTGTAATCATTTAATCTCCTGCGTTTCTTTTACTTGCTTTCTTAAGGTCTCAGTTTCATTCTTCAGTTCATTGATTATTTGTCTCATATCATTCTTTCCTTTTTCTTTTTTTTTATGCTTTTTAATCATGATGATTACTAATTCTCTGACAGGCAGAGAAGTTGTTCCATGTCATTGTTGAGCTCAGGTGACTTTTTCTTTTATGGTGTATCCTTCCCCTGTGGGCTTCCTTGGTTATTTGTGTTTTTTCCTTCTCTCCTAATTAGTTCTACATGTCGGGACGTTGTTCCACTGGTAATGGCTGGCATCTCTTTGGACTGTTCCTTCAGGGGTTTGGAAATGGCTGGCATTTGGCTATTTGCAGGTCTCTCCATGGAGTCCTTATCTTCCCCTAATGGTGCTGAGTTGCTATCACCTGGTGCCGTTCACTCACCTCCGTGGCAATTCCCGCAGGATTGTCCAGAGGTCCTGTTCATGGATGTGGTGCCTGCAGTAGTTCCTCTCCACTCATTGTCCCTCTTGATCCCTAATTTTTTCTTTTTTTTTGTTTTTCTACCAAGTTTACTCTTAAAGTGATTGGTAAGTATTGAATAATGTCATGGCTTAAAATGATGAATTCCCAGCTGTTTGAAGAGACTGTTACAAATGAATGGCCACAAGGCGAGAACTGGCTGTCCTATGGGTCAGGCGTGTGCCCTCTTCCTGGCATGCAAGAGCCAGTCAAGCCCCTTGTCACCTTTTGGGTGAGAAAAGGAAGTGACGGAGTGGGGAGGAACTGCACCAGGGGCAGAGCGACTGCAGCAGTGTCACTTGTCTTGCTTGGAATGTTCTGGAAAGAGGGAGTAGCAGCAGGGAACTCAGAGCTGAGCTCCATGGACAGGTGGTGCTGTAGAGTTTCTGCTGGCCCCGGCAGCCTGCAGGAGGTGGGTTCTTGTCCTCCTGGGTCACTTTGCACTGGTCCTGGAGCTAGGACACAGCCTCCCTCCTACCCCCAGCTGAAGCCTGGGGTCCTCCTTCTTGTACCCACGTAGGTCCTTACTGTTTAGCCATCAGGGTGCAGCCCTCCCAGATTGCCTGGCTCTTCTTCACCTTTTCTGGCAGTCACATGCCACCGTTCTTGGTGTTTTAATAGTATTGAAACCAAAGTCCTTTCTAGTTTCCTGGTTCCTCAGTCCTTGCTCCCCCATCCCACAGTAGCCTTGTCCCCCAATCTACCTGGCCTCTCCCCGCAGACAGAACCTAGAACTTCACCACTAATTCTGATTCCCCACTTGAGGGTCAGGGGTCCCACTCCTCTGTGGGATGCCCCCTTGCTCTGCTGGGCCAACTCCGAAATTTCTGCCCTGCCTGGAGTACTCCCAGCCCCTTGTGCCTCCCAGTGGTGTGCTCCCTCCTGGGCTCAGTCTTCTGCAAACGTGCAGCTTACCTGCCCTTTCTAGATCGCTTAGATGCACCTGACTCCATTTCCACCTGGTTGAGTCCTGCGCTCACCTGTTCTGTGCTCACACACCTGTGGCCGCTACAAAACACATCATCCCCTGGAAGCCCCACACTTTAAATTCTGGGTCACCCACTAAATCTTCTGGCCTAGCGTCCTCGCTCTCCCAGAGTCTTTATCCCCTCAGACCCTGAGCCTCTGGTCTCCACCTCCTTCTGCAGCTGCAGCTTTGCTGCCTGTGTGATGGTAAAGATGTTCCCTGAGGGGAGCCGTGCACACGCCTCCCCCTTGTGCAGGGAGCCTGGGGGACCTTTTTCCCCCTTCCCCTCCAGCGCCCCCATTCTGAACTGCTCACTCCTCACCTGGGCCTGACCCTCCCTGCCCCTGTCCTCGCCTCCGCTGTGCCAGGGACGTGAGGCGGGTCAGTCTGTCCAGCACTGTTTGTGATTCCCCGGGAGCTGGGCTCCGTCCTCCAGAATACAAGCAGGGGGGTTTGACGGCCCTCTCACAGCCCCCCTTCCTCAGCAACCCTCCACTTTCCGTCTTCATGCACAGAGCATATTCGTGACGTGTCTGCTCTGCTCCTTGAGTTCCTGCTCTCCCGTGGGCTGTTACCCCTCCACATGGGCAACCCCCGCTGCGGTGCCAGTTCCCTGGGTGCTCCTGTCAGGTCTTCAGTGACAGGCACTTGGGTTGCTCTGAGTAGAGAAATGAAAAATCTCTCCTCCCTTCTCTGTCCCTAGTCCCAGATGTGGCCCTGCAAGTGATCATGAAGGTCCCCAACACCACCGTGTCTGAGAAGGCCGCCTTCCAGCTGGACTGCAGCATCCTGTCTCGCTCCAGCCACAACTCCCGCTTCGCTGTGACCTGGTTTTCCCTGAGGACAAAAGTCAGCGGGGAAAAGGGTAGCCCTGGCCTGGGAGGACAGGAGGAACAGGGAGAGGACCCCACCGAGCGGAGGGCACTGCTGAGCATAGATGCTGACGGGGTCTTCAGCCCAGAAGGAGGCCCCTGGGAGGACAGACTCCACTTCCAGAGGCCCTCGCTGCTGCTCTTCCGGCTCACGGTGCTGCAGGCCAGCCCGCAGGACACGGGCAACTACTCCTGCCGCGTGGAGGAGTGGGTGCCCAGCCCTCAGGGAGATTGGTACCGCCCAAGGGAAGAGGAGTCGGCCCCCATCGGCATCCATGTCCTGCACACCAGTGAGTTTCCCCAGTTGGCAGGGGAGGGTCGCGCCCGGTGACAGCTGTGTCTCAGGACAGGGCAGGGCGGTTTGCAGGTTAATAAGCACTTTCCTCGCCTGTCCCGGGCACTGAGGACTTGACACACCGTTCATGTCACTGACCCTGATGGCCCAGGCCAACTCGGGAGTGTGAGCGGCCGTGATAACACAGTCATCGTCAATCTGTGCAATAATCCTGATGCCACACCGAGTCTGTTGTAGTGTTTCATCAGCCTTTTGAAGAGTTCATCATACAAATCATGGTCAGGGGTTATTGTGTTACACTTTAGAATATTCAGATTAATCTCTCTTTAGCCAATTAACAAGTGCTTCAGATTCATAAGGAGAGAAAATGAAGCCCCAGGGCCTCCCCGGTGGCGCAGCGGTTGAGCACTGGGTTGCGAAGCTGCCCGCGGTCTCTGGGGCACGGCTTCGATCCCCGGCTGCTCCCCGGCCACCAGAGGAGGGTCCCACATGGCGCGCAGACCCCTCCTGCCGCCCGCTGCTCCCCTCAGCAGTGTACTTCGGTCCTTCTGCCTGCTCTGCTCCCCGCTCTGGCTCTGGTGAATTCTCTCACCCTCCCGCGCTTCTGACTGTGCCCAGTGCATGTACAAACAAAACAAACAAACAAATAAATAAAAATCATAAATAAAAATACGTGCCTCTTAAAAAAAATAAAAGAAATAAAAGAAAAAAAGAAAATGAAGCCCCAGCGCCTCCCTGTCACTCTTTCTGTTTTCCTGGGTCATCTTTATTTTGGAGGGTGACATGGACCTAGGTGGATTTTTAGGGTAGCCTGGGAGGATCAGCGTAGAAGGGCAGTGGGGTCACTTGGGTCTGGGAACAGTTGAGCTTGCCATCGGTGTTGCTACAGAATGTTCCAGAACAATGAGTTTGGAGAGTGCCAAAGGACTCTATTTTAAAAAACTGAGGAAATTCTTGCTGACCTTGAATCATCTGTTCTAACAAGGCACTCGTATGGGTGGCTTCTGTCAAAATGTGGACACTCTCAGACTGAAAATGGTGTCAGTTATTAGCACAATTAGCCTATAGTGCAGAAGTAAAAATGTCACTAGAAATTTCTACTTGTTTTCAGTCAAAATATTTACCAGATAATTTTGCTTTGAGATTTTAAATTTTATTTCCTTTTTCTTTTATTTCATCACCTCATTTACATTGCTTCAAATTGACTCCTATGATGCTGAGATTTTTTTTTTTTTTTTTTATTTTATAGAGGCATGTTTTTATTTATTTATTTGTTTGTTTGTTTTTTGTTTATACATGCACTGGGTACAGTCAGAAGCACGGGAGGGTGAGAGAATTCACCAGAGCCAGAGCGGGGAGCAGAGCAGGCAGAAGGACCGAAGTACACTGCTGAGGGGAGCAGCGGGCGGCAGGAGAGGTCTGCGCGCCATGCGGGACCCTCCTCCGGTGGCCGGGGAGCAGCCGGGGATCGAACTGGCGCCGCAGAGGCCACGAGCAGCTTCGCAACCCAGCGCTCAACCGCTGCGCCACCGGGGAGGCCCTGATGCTGAGATTTTACAGGTCAAAGTAGTTGACTGTCAACAATTTCACGTGCTTTAGAGATCTAATAGGTGTAAGTGTGTGTTGAATGTTCTTGAGCATACTGATAAGCAGCAGCTGTGCACTAGAAAGGAAGGCAGGAAAAGACCTGTATTGTGCTCAGACCCCCCAACACACTCCTGAAAAAGCTCCAGTCCAAAAACAAAGGGAGCGTGTGGAGGCCACGTATTATTGCCCACTGTGGCGACCCCTGTGTATGGCGTTTCAAGAAACAGAGACTATCCAGAAGCCTCAGGGTCCAGGCTCCTGCTTATTTCTTCCAAGTCCAAAGGCAGACCTGGACGAGGGCAGGGAGCCTGGCTTCATTGCCCTCCACTTCCAGGGCGAGCATGCTGTATCCTTTGCAGCCTAGACATCCAGTGGGCATTTGTGGGCCCACAGTGATATTTTAGTTGATCGTGTTAATTAAAGAATCATTATTTCTGGGAAAACTACTCTCAGGAGCTGTCAGGGAGGGAACATTTATATTGCCAAAGAAGGACTTCTGGAGCAGAACTGAGTGCAAAGGGAAAGTGTAAGACACAACCATGCAGGAGAGTGAGAGAAACTGGGCTCAGCTTCTTCTGTCCTCCTTGGAGTTGAGCTCATGAACCGCCAGTTGTCACGTGGCTTTCCAAGCAGTGATGCTCACACATGGGCTTGGGAGCTTTGCTTTATTTGAACTGAGCTGGAAGAGGTGCTGTTGTGCGAAAAGATGCCCAGGGTAGCAGGGGACAGAAAGGCAGGGTTGGGGGAGTCCGCCAAAGCTTCCCTTGGGCTGGGCGAGGTCTTCGGGAACAAAAGTGCAGGTTCTCAGCTTCTTGTCTTGTCTCCCTCCGGCCCCTTCCAGGCTCCACCCTGCAGTCCAGGGTCTGCTCCAACAAGGTACTCTTCGACTTCGTCTTCTACTACCCCCTCCCCATCTTAGGCATCATCGTCATCAGGTTCCTGAAGCGGTGCTGCGATTGCTGAAATCCCATAAGAACTCCGAAGGGCATTATGGGGTGCCCCTGTTATGGATCAAAGAGCCACACCTGAACTACTCCCCGACTTGCTTGGAGCCCCCGGTGCTCAGCATCCACCCAGGAGCCATAGACTAAGGGGCCTCCGTGGATGTCGACCTGGGAGGAGCCGAGAGACTCTTTGCCGCCTCTGCTCCGTGACTGTCCTGCCGGCCGCGCCCGCGCTGCGGTGCCCAGAGATGTTCAGACTGGACAGCGGGCGGAGGCGCCGCGCCACAGAGCCAGGCTGCCTCCTAACTTAGAAACTGAGTCAGGGAGGGCGGTGTCTGACTGTTTTCTGATTGGAAAGATGCAGAGGGCTGCCTGGGACGGGTGTGCAACTAAGATTTGGGTTTGAATGGGTTCACAGCTGTAGAATAGCAGGTGCTGCAGGTAATTCAATATGTGAAGCAGTTGCAGGAAACTTGAAAGACAAAAGAAACTGGAGCCAGTACTTCAATAATTTTTTTTTCCTCTGTATTTTCTACTGACCTGGGGGAGGCCTTCCAAAGGTGAGCCTCTCCAAGCTTTCCATGAAAATCCCCAGGACCTGCTTGCTTTGCCCATGTCTTGGGAACTGTGGTGTCCGAGGACAGGATATGGCGCCCTCCAGTGGCCGCGGGGCCTCATTGCACGTTGCCCGCCGGAGCTTCCGTGGTCTGGACCAAGAGGAAATCTGCAGCCACTGGCTTGACTTGGGCACATCTCCGAGGCTGCATGGATGAAACACCACACCGTGCGAGGCCCGTTCCAGGACACGGAGAGGACCGCACCCTCTCTCCCCTGGGGGTTTCTGTAGCAGATTTTCCTATTCTTTTCAAACTATGGTTTCTCTGCGTTGATGATTGAAGGGAAAAAAGGTGGGGTCAGAAAGCTCCCCGTGCATGATGTAGAGAGCTGTTGGTTTGCTTTTGTTGCTTTTTTTTAAGGAACACTCTTTGTAAGATGTTGCACTAAAATGTTTTATATGCATTTCAGAGACCTGTAGTAAATTATGTTGAAAATATGGCTGTTTGCATTCCCTGGCGGCCGCTGTCCTTCCTCCCCCAGCCTGAGTGGTGCCTTCGTACACATGACACAGCACACTCCTTCCTCGACACCACAGCCAGCTGCTGAAGGGGTCATAAAGAGTCAGGCCTGCGCTGATGAGCAGGTGCAGAGGGAAGCGCTTACCAACTCTAACTTCCTTTTTTTCTGGGGGGTGGGGTGTGGGCTGGGGGGAAGGAGGGGGAAGAGAAGCTGGTGGAGAAGGGGCGCAGGATCATGTCAACAGCAACCTTCTTGGCCACCAAGGTCCTCTGCAGCAAGACCACAGCATGATCTGCAGTGGGTGGCCTTGCCTTGACCCTAAAGGCTCAGCAAGCACTTTCAGGATGGAGGAAAGACCAAGGCCTGGCGCCTGTTCCGTGCACAGCAGCCCAGACCCTGGTCCTCACACAGCTCAAATCTGGGGTGTTTGGGAGTTCATCTCATCTGCAAGTTGAGAAGAATGACCGGATGATTAAAGCACAGCAGTGATGGGTGATCGGTCAGGGCCCATCTGTTATTCTTTGAAATCCACAGCCCACTACACAAGAGGCTCTAGATACAGAGTGAGAGGCTCAGGGAAGTGCTTCCCTTTTCTTCTCTTTAACACCTCAGCCTTCCTGGGACACAAGATGTGTGGCCTCTGCACCCCACCCCACTTGCCGCCTGCTTATCAACTTCTGGCAGCTGCTGGCTTGGCCAAGAGTTGAGGTGCACTGTCTCTCCGTTGGGTCCCCAGCATGGTCCGTGTCAGTTTTATGTATTATTTTTGCCTGTTTTTCCTCAAACACTCTCTGCCAGCAATCATTTTTAAAAGGGAAGTGGGGAACTAGAGTTTGATGAAATAAACTTGTGCCTCTACAGCCCCAGTGCAGATCTGCCCAGTGTGTACATAGAAGTGTGAACGTCCCCTCCCACGCTGGGCAGGAGTAGAGGCAGTGCTTTGTCCACTATATGCTGGGCCCTGAGTCTTTTGGGCTTTGGCAAGACCCAGAACCAGAGGGCTGTGCTAGGAAGAGCAGCAGCCTCGCGCCAGAGGAGCAGCTGAAAAAGCCGCCTCTCTTATCTAGTGGTGACATCTGCAAGGACAAGCAGATGAAACCTGGTCTTTCAACACCAGTTGCAGAATGAAAAATACCATGAAACCTTTAGGTGGCAAGTGCTCAGAGTATGAACAGCCCGGGCCCTGCGCCACTGTGATGCTTGGAGTTGCCAGGCCAGGCACATCAGGGCTCTTATAAATGTGTTTCTCTTGCTCAAGGAGCTGGCGCTGCTGCTTGGTCAGAGGTGCGTCCACCAAGGAAGACTAATGAGTCTTTCCTCATCCAATGTCCAGACACGATGACCTTGGGGGTACTTCCACCCCAGGGAAGTGGGCATTGCTCCCCTCAGCCCTAACCCTAACCCTGCTTTTAGGGGGCTGACCCTTGCTGCTAGTCCCAAAGGTGTGTCCTCCCAGGTGAAAGGTAAGTGTGATTCCTTGACCTTGGCTTGAGTTGGCCTCTCAGCTCTGCCACTCCCTGTGCGTGTTCTCGGGCAGGCACGTGCCCTGAGCCTCAGTTTCCTCCTCTGTAGACACAGGACAGTGGTCACATCCGCTAGTCCAGGCCGTGCACTTAAGGCAGGGCACGGAATGGGCTCCAGTTTGATGTCACATCACTTGTCAGACCCCAGCCTCCCTTCTCAGGTTGCCCGAGGTCCTGCCAGCCCCAGGCAGTGGAGGACCCCCATTTCCTCACATGTTGGGGTAAACACTGCACTTGTCATGTGCCCCCAATATCTACAGATGGTAGGGGGTGTCTTAAGGTCACCAGCTTCCTGGTACAGGACTTTGGCTTCTGAAATTTCGCCCATGAGTGATGCCTTTTAAGATTTTAGGTTCATTGAAGAAATAGTTTGTGATTTCTGAAAGTACAGGCCACGTGACTGGGATGCTGGGGCCCAGGTGGGGGTGCTGGGGAGGAGACCCACAGGAAATGGATTTCCACCTGCTCAACAGCTGCACCTGGTGGCATGTGGGGGGGGCGGGGAGTCCTGGTCTGGGCAAGAGTCTCCACCTGCCTCAGCTGGGCTGGGACAGCTCTGGGCTTCTCTGAAGGAAAAGGGCCCCTTCCTGGCTTGGAGTCCTTGGGTCTGGGCCCCCTGGGGCTGCAGGGGGAAGTGTGGGGGGCAAGCCAGTGGGGAACACTGACCAATAAGAAGGGGCGTTCCAGCGGGCAGTGGCTGCTCTGCAGAGAGAAATTCGGGGAGCCACTGAGGGGGTGAACGCCTCAGCCTGAGGGAAAAGCCACAGTTGAAACCGAAGAGGAGCCAGAGAGGGTGAGGAGGAGACACCGTGGCTGGAACCCAGTTCTGGGCACAAGGGGCGGCTGGGATCGGGATTAAGGAAAAGCGGGTGGGGTGCAACAGGCACCCCCACACCCCAGCGGTGTCTGAACAGTCCGGGTTCCTCTTGTTCTGACAGGGGAGGAGAGAGCCTGGGCGGGTCTGGCTGCCACAGACACAGATGGAAGCGCGGGGCCCTCAAGTCCTGGAGCCGCCCTGTGCTCTGGGGGTTTTCAGTCAAAGCAGCCGCCAGGGGAGTGCAGCGAGGCTTTTGGGGACTGACCCTCCCCCTCCGGCCGCCCCCACGTTCCCGCCGCCGCAGCTCCGACCCCAGCATAATCCAATCACTGAGGAAACCTGCTCGGGGCGGCGGAACAGCCCGGGGCGGGCGCTGGGGTGCGCACCCCCAGAGCCGGCCGGAAGGGCCGCGGGCGGGCGGGGCGCCGCGGGAGGGTGTGAGCAGGTGGAGAGTGGCCCTGGGCGGGGGCGGGGACGCTGAGAAACGGTGTCTGCTTTGCAAGGCAAATTTAGTGCACCCCGGTGGCTTCCCCGCCCCCTCACCTCCATCTGGTATTCCAGGTACTTTGCATCAGTAATTTCGCATTTGAAACGCAAAACGAAACCTCTCCGAATCTGCCCAGATGGGGCACCCACGGGCACACCCCGGCCTGGGCGCGTCATGGCCGGCCTCGGGCGCGAGGGGGGCGGCGGCTTGTTCCTCCTGCTCGGTGAGTGACCCCTCGGGCAGAGGCTGCTGAGAGGGTGGGGTGAGGACTCCCCGAGCCAGCTGTCCCGGGGAAAGGGGTCACCTCGCCCCTCCTTTGGGGCGCGGGAGGAAACTTCTCCCCGGGGTGTCTGCATCTGGCTGGGGAGGAAGTGGGGGCCCCAGCGCTCTCCGCGGGGCTCATCTCTCTCTCGGGGCCTCTGAGCCCCTTGGGCAGATCCAGGCTCCCGCCCCGCGCAGCCTGCCCTGGAAGGTTGTGGCTTTTCTCTGAAATTCAGTTACTTCTCGGCCTCTGAGCTGCCCTGGCCTTAGACTTGAGGGGACAGAACCGCGCTGGGCCTACCTCAGGCTCCCCCACCCGCGCCTTGGGGGTGGATCCCTGCTGGGGTGACGATCTGCACCCCCCCTCAGCAGGTTCCCCCCCTGCCAGTGCTGGTGGCTTCTGCCCCCCAACGGGCCAGCTTGGGGTGGGAAGCCGACCCTGGCAGGGGGAGGGCAGAGAGAGCGTTTGAGCAGGGGACCTAGTCTGCACTTTGGGGTTCCTAAGCAGGCAGTGATGATGCCTTCCCCTCCCTTTGGTCTTAAAGGAATGAACCTGTGTCTAGAACCTTCTGATTCCCTTTCTAGCTTTAGGAAATCAGCAGCACAGCCCCAGGACATGGGTATCTTTGCCTTGTTTCTGACCTCCTCACCCTCCCAACACCTCCAGTCTGGGGGCAAGTCACAGTGAACCCCTGGAGAGCAGCCCCCCTAACTCATTCTTCCTTTGGGTGGGGCGTGGGGGCGGGGCCTGCTGGGAGCCCTTGGGACCATCTGCCAGATCCACATTCCACTCCAGTCTTCAGGCTTTTCTGAGTCACTGCCCTTTGCGTTCTCCCAGGTGTAGGACCTGGGGGAGGGTTTGGGGAAGGCTCAGAGTTTCCACAGTGTCAGGTACCAGTGTAGGAAGAGGGATTAAAAGAAGCACCAAAGCCCTGGGCCTGCAGAGGAGGAGAGCCTTGTCTTTTGTGAAATCAGGCGTCCTCTGTGAAGCAAAGCCTTCCAGGGAGGGGGGGTGGTGGAACCTGGCTTCCTAGGAGGGAGGTGCTGGAGCTGCAGTGATGTGGGAAGAGATCCCAGGAGGAGGAAGCCAGGCAAGGAAGCCAGGGAGCAAGAGTTTACAGGTGAACTTGGGCAGTGAATGGTCCCTCCTCCGTGTCCCCCAGGGACACTGGACACACACTCCAGGTGCGCCGAGGGCAGTTTCTGAGGGCGCCCTTTCTGGGAGAGAAAGGATAATAGTGTCCGTAAGAATTCATACAATTACTGTGAACATCTGTTGCTCAACAAATACTGAGCATCAGCTGTGTGGGGGGCACTGTACAAGGCCTGAGCACACAGCAGGGCACAACACTCCCTGCTCAGGGGCTGGGGGAGGGGGAGACAGTGAAAAAGAGCAAATAGAGAAATGTGGGGTGATGGCACAGCACACAGTTACTAATACAGAGATTAGGAAAGCAGAGAGGAGGGGGAGCCGTTAATAGTTCTTTTTAAATTTTCACAACTTTGGAACACTACACACGTCAATTTCACCACAGTGGTTGACTTCTCCTTTATAGATCAAACACACACTCAGACGCATGCACTTAAATGGGTTATTTTTCGCAAAACCTTTTGAGAGATGCAAACCTCAGGACGACCTGCCCCTGAATGATCCAGCTTGTCTTTTAAGACACTGCATCTCAGTGAGCCCCAGAGCCTGGTCAGCAAACACAGCCTTGTCCTGGGCTGCTTTCTGGCTGAGTCAGATCTGGGTCAGCACTTCATCTGGTGGTGGAACCTCTTTCGGCCCCTTGCGTCTACGAGTTTGCTTTTTACTTTAGGGCTGCTGTTCTCGGGGGTTCCGACCAGTTAGTTTATAGAATATGCCTTGATTTGGACTGTCTGCCTTTTGGTGGTGTTTGGGTTCTGGTTAAAACGTGGTTGTCGGGCAGGATACTCTTTGTAGGTGTGTCCTGGTCTGCTCCACTCATCTCATGAGGAAGCAAACTCTGTCCATTGGTCCCACTGTGGAGATGTGAATGTCTACGGCTTGGTCAACGTGATGGCCCAGAGATTTCTCACTTTACAGGCACCGTTACCGCATTGCAAATAAGTAATTGACTAAGATTGTGGGGATCTCTTGTTCCCTGACAATCTCTCCTCTAATCTTTTAGCATCCAGTGAGGATTTCAGCCCTAAGCCCATTATCACTAAAACGTTATTAGATGGCAACAATTTTCTAGCTCTGTTTTTAAATATATTGATATTCCTTAGCAATGAAAAGTTTTTGCAATTTTTTTCTAAAGATTTATTTGTTTATGTCTGCAAGAGCTGGGTTGTAGGCCAGAGGTGAGTGCAGGGATGAGAGGATTCACCAGAGACAGAACAGGGAGCACAACAGGTAGATCTGCTGAAATGCTCTGCTGAGGGGAGCAGCGGGGAGACAGGAGAGGTCTGCTGGGCCATGTGGGTAGCTCCCTGGCCTGGGATAGAACTCATGCCACAGTGCCTGCCAATAGCTTCATGGTGTTGAGGCGCTTCCCCTTGAGCCACCACAGAGACCCCCATTCTAGCCCTTTGGATAGGCTTTTGTTTCCTCAGTCCCAGGCTGTTTATTTTATCAGGGACTGCCTTGGGAGGTGCTTCCTCCCTCTGTGTGACTGTCTCCTCTCCCCCTACCATTGCTGGCTGGGCTAACTCCTCTCTCCTTCAGTGATTTGTCGTCCTGGATCAGTTTCAGCCTGACTTCCCTGAAAGCCCTTGGGTTGGAGGCTCCCACGCCTGCTCTGAGTCCTCTCCCTCAGCTGGGGTGCCCGGGGCTCAGGACGATGCCTGGCTTCTTGCTGCCTCGTTCCCAGTTCCCAGTGTCGTCCCCAGCCCCTGACATATCCAGGGCTCCATAAGCTGGATCATTCCTTAGATTTCCGGGCCCGAGTTCCCTAGTAAAGAGTCAACTACATGGTCACGGGTGTCCTGCTTGCTGCTGGCAGTTTTCACTTTAGCACAGCACAAGATAACGTATGCGTAATGTAACTTGTTTCTCCCTAAAGGGCATCTTGGAAGATGCTTTTCTGTTTTCACTAAAATCATGTGCTGCTTCCTAACCAATTTTCCCCCCTCCTAGATCTCATTGTCTGTGATACCCAGCCCAAAAATGTGGTTCTATCTGGAGGCATAAATCAGAATGTGACTTTCAAAATAGTATAACCTGTAGCCTTTAAAGATATCCTGTGGGAAAAGGCAAGAATAAAGTCATCGAATGGGAGGAGAACTTTTACCGGAGCCCAGATCTTTCCCGCCCTTTATAAACAGGGCTCATTTAGACACCCGGACCGGGGACCTCACCATCTTCAATATAACGTTGCAGACTAAGATGAGTACAAAGTCAAATATGGCAGAACTAAGGGCAGCACCAAGTTTACTCTTAAAGTGATTTGAATAATGTGATTTGCTTAAAATGACGCATTCCCACCTATTCGAAGAGACTGTTACAAAAAATGGGTCACGAGGCGAGAACCGGCCGTCCTATGGGTCAGGCGTGTGTCCTCTTTCTGGCCTGCGGGAGCCACTCCAGTCCCTTGTCACCTTCTGGGTGAGCAAAGGAAGTGACTGAGGGGGGAGGAACTGTACCTGGGGCAGAGCGACGGCAGCAGTGTCACTTGTCTTGCTAGGAATGTTCTGGAAAGAGGGAGTAGCAGCAGGGAACTCAGAGCTGAGCTCCCTGGACAGGAGGTGCTGTGGAGTCCCTGCTGGCCCCTGTTCCTCTGCAGTCAGGCTGCACTGCCGCTAGATCGCCTGGCGCTGGGCTTCACCCTTCCCGTCAGGCACGCGGCCATCACTTAATAGTGTTGAGACAAAAGTCCTTTCTAGTTTCCTGGTTCCTCAGTCCTTGCTCCCCCATGCCGCAGTGGTCTTGTCCCCCAATCTACCTGGCCTCTCCCTGCGGACAGAACCTCAAACTTCACCAGTAATTCTGATTCCCCATTGTCTGAGGGTCAGGGGGCCCACTCCTCTGTGGGACACTGGCCTCTTCCACTGGGCCAAATCCGAAGTTCCTGCCTCACCTGGAGTCCTCACAACCACTTTGGCCCTCCCAGTGGGGTGCTCCCTCCTGGGCTCAGGCTGGTGCACATGCACAGCTTACCTGCGGGGTTCTCCATCACTTAGACACACCTGACTCCATCTCCACCTGCTTGAGTCTGGCGCTCACCTGTTCTGTGCTCACCACCCGTGGCCGCCGCAAAGCATGTCACCCCCGGGGTCCCCACACTTTAAATTCCGGGTCTCCCACTTAATCTGTCTGGCCTAGCGTCCTTGCTCTCCCAGAGTCTTTATCTCCTCAGACCCTGAGCCCCTGGTCTCCACCTCCTTCTGCAGCTGCAGCTTTGCCGCCCTTGTGGGGCTAAAGAGGTCCTGAGGACAACCCCGCACATGCCTCCCTGCCTGCAGCTAGCCTGGGGGACTGTTTTCCCCCCTTCCCCTCTGGCGCCCCCATTCTGACCTGCTCACTCCTCCCCTGGTCCCCTTCCCTCCCCGCCCCCATTGTGCCAGGAAGTGACTCCAGTCAGTCTGTCCAGCTCTGCTTGTGATTCCCCAGGAGCAGGGCTCCTCCCACAGAACACAAGCAGGGGGGACTGGGGGCCTCTCACGGCCCCCCTTCCTCAGCTACTCCCCACTTTCAGTCTCCATGCACAGAGCATCCTCGTGAGGCGTCTGCTCCGCTCCTAGAGCTCTGCTCTCCCGTGGGCTGTTACCCCTCCACACAGGTACCCCCCGCTGCGGTGCCAGTTCTCTGGTGCTCCTGTCAGGTCTTCAGTGATGGACACACCTCCCGTCTCTGTCCCTAGTCCCAGGTGTGGCCCTGCAAGTGATCCTGGTGGTCCCCAACGCCACGGTGCCCGAGAAGGCCGCCTTCCAGCTGGACTGCAGCATCACATCTCGCTCGAGCCAGGACTCCCGCTTCGCTGTGGCCTGGTTTTCCCTGAGGACGAAAGTCAGCGGAGAAAAGGGCAGCCCTGGCCTGGCAGGACAGGAGGAGCAGGAGGAGGAGCAGGAGGAGGAGCAGGGGGAGGACCCCACGGAGAGGACTGCACTGCTGCGTGTGGGCCCTGACGGGGTCTTCGGCCCAGAGGGAGGCCCCTGGGAGGGCAGACTCCGCTTCCAGAGGCCCTCGCTGCTGCTCTTCCGGCTCACGGTGCTGCAGGCCAGCCCGCAGGACACGGGCAACTACTCCTGCCGCGTGGAGGAGTGGCTGCCCGGCCCTCAGGGAGATTGGTACCTGCTGGCAGAGGAGGAGTCGGCCCCCATCAGCATCCGCGTCCTGGACACCGGTGAGTTTCCCCAGTTGGCAGGGGAGGGTCGCACTGGTGACAGCTGTGTCTCAGGGACAGGGCAGGGCGGTTTGCAGGTTAATAAGCACTTTCCTTGCCTGTCCCGGGCACTGAGGACTTGACACACCGTTCATGTCACTGACCCTGATGGCCCAGGCCAACTCAGGAGTGTGAGCGGCCGTGATAACACAGTCATCGTCCATCTGTGCAATAATCCTGATGCCACACCGAGTCTGTTGTAGTGTTTCCTCTGTTGTTCACCAGCCTGTGGTAGAGTTCATCACACAAATACCTGGTCAGGGGTTACTGTGTTACACTTTAGAATATTCACTCTGATCTCCTTTAGCCAATTAACAAGTGCTTCAGACTCATAAGGAGAGAAAATGAAGCCCCAACGCCTCCCTGTCACTCTTTCTGTTTTCCTGGGTCATTTTTATTTTGGAGGGTGACATGGATGTAGGTGGATTTTCATGGTCCCCTGGGAAGGACCAGCCTAGAAGGGCAGACCTCTCACAGGGAACAGTTCTCTCAGAGAACAGTTGAGCTTCCATTGGTGTTGCTACAGAATGTTCCAGAACTCTAAGTTTGGATTCTATAAAAGACATGGAGGAAATTCTTGCTGACCTTGAATCATCTGTTCTAACGAGGTGCTCTTGATTGGCTACTCTCAAAATGTGGATTCTCTGAGACTGAAAATGGTGTCAGTAATTAGCACAATTAGTCTATAATGTAGAAGCAAAAAGGTCACTAGAAATTTCTACTTGTTTTCAGTCAAAACTTTTTACCAGATAAATTTGATTAGAAATTTTGAGTTTCATTTGCTATTTCTTTTCTTTGATCACCTCGTTTACATGCTTCAGATTGACGCCTATGATGCTGAGATTTTACAGGTCAAAGTAGTTGACTGTCAACAATTTCACATGCTTTAGAGATCTAATAGGTGTAAGTGTGTGTTGAATGTTCTTGAGCATACTGATAAGCAGCAGCTGTGCACTAGAAAGGAAGGCAGGGAAAGACCTGTATTGTGCTCAGACCCCCCAACACACTGCTGAAAAAGCTCCAGTCCAAAAGCCCAGGGAGCATGTGGAGGCCACGTATTCTCTGCCACTGTGGCGACCCCTGTGTATGGCATTTCAAGGAACAGCGACTATCCAGCAGCCTCAGAGACCAGGCTCCTGCTGAGTTCTTCCAAGTCCAAGGGCTGACCTGGACAAGGGCTGGGGGACTGGCTTCATACCCCTCCATGTCCAGGGCGAGGAGGCTGTGTCCTCTGCAGCCACAGACACCCCGTGGACATCTGGGACCCCACAGTGATAATTAAAGATTGTGTTCATTAAAGAAGCATTGTTTCTGGGAAAACTACTCTCAGGAGCTGTCAGGAAGGGAACATTTATATCGCCAAAGAAGGACTTCTGGAGCAGAACTGAATGCAAAGGGAAAGTATAAAATACAACCGTCAGGAGAATGAGAGAAACTGGGGTCAGCTTCTTTCCTTCCTCATAGAGTTGAGCTTATAATCCATCAGTGTCATGTGGCTTTCCAAGTAGGGACTCAGGTTCCCACTAGGGCTTGGGAGCATTGCTTTATTTGCACTGAGCTGGAGGAGGCGCTGTTATGCAAAAAGGATGCCAAGGGTAGCAGGGGACAGAAAGTCAGGGTTGGGGGCAGGGAGTCCACCAAGTAGCTTCCCTTGGGCTGGGTCAGGTTCTTGGGAATAAAGCCCAGGTTCTCAGCCTCTTGACTTGTCTCCCACTGGCCCCTTCCAGGCTCCACCCTGCAGTCCAGCATTGGCTCCAAAGATGCGCTCTTCTACTTCGTCCTCTTCTACCCCTTCCCCATCTTCGGCATCCTCATCATCACCATCCTGCTGTTGCGCTTCAAGAGCCAGAACTCCAAGGCCTACAGGTGTGGGCGGGTTGAACACAGTGCTATGGAGCTGTCCGCAGACTCTGCAGCGCGGTTTCGATTCCCAGCCAGCCAGGGAGATTCCTGCATGGCAGAGCAGACCTCTCCTCTCTCGCCCACTGTTCCCCTCACCAGTGTTTTCAGTCCTTCTGCCTGTTCTGCTCCCTACTCTGTCTCTGGTGAATCCTCACACCCTCCCTGGCCTGTGCCCTGACTCTTGTATAAATAAAAATAAATCTTTTTTTAAAAAAGAAAAAGAGCCTGAACTCCTAAGGGAAGATGGGGCACCCCTGTTTTGCATCAAAGAGCCACACCTCACCTACTCCCAGACATGCCTGGAGCCAGTGTCAACCTCCATGGAGATGTTTATGCCCTGGAATTCCCATGTTTTGTGGCGAAGAGTGTCATTTCCCTTCCTCTGTGAACTTGCCTCTTGAATCCCGCAAGATGCCAATTTGCAATAAGCCACCAGGAATTCTGGCACTTAATGGATGGAGTGATCGCTGCAACATCTTGTCCTGATACTGAACGGACAGGGAGAGCAGTGGGATTCTGCAGGCCAAGTTGGTGCTGCTGGTCCTTATCGGGCTCTGCAAGTGGCTGGGTGCACAGCAGCTGCTAAGCCCGTTTCTGGCAGGTGGTGTAACCCTGCTTTTCCTCCCAGGCAGCCCAGGGTGCTCTTTGGAGACACCCTGGTCCCACCGCTGCCCCCATGCTCATCCCTATTTATTATGCTGCATCGACACTTCTGAGGTGCGAATCGACTCTGGCGAGGAAGGAAGGCATGCTTCGCCCCATTTGGTGGTGGAAATTGCCTACCCCTAACTTAGAAACTGAGTCAGGGAGGGCGATGTCTGACTGTTTTCTGATTGGAAAGATGCAGAGGGCTGCCTGGGACGGGTGTGCAACTAAGATTTGGGTCTGAATGGGTTCACAGCTGTAGAATAGCAGGTGCTGCAGGTAATTCAATATGTGAAGCAGTTGCAGGAAACTTGAAAGACAAGAAGAAACTGGAGCCAGTACTTTAATAATTTTTTTTCCTCTGTATTTTCTACTGACCTGGGGGAGACCTTCCAAAGTTGAGCCTCTCCAAGCTTTCTAGGAAAATCCCCAGGACCTGCTTGCTTTGCCCATGTCTTGGGAACTGGGGTGTCCGAGGACAGGATATGGCGCCCTCCAGTGGCCGCGGGGCCTCATTGCACGTTGCCCGCCGGAGCTTCCGTGGTCTGGACCAAGAGGAAATCTGCAGCCACTGTCTTGACTTGGGCACATCTCTGAGGCTGCATTGATGAAACACCACACTGTGCGAGGCCAGTTCCAGGACACGGAGAGGACCGCACCCTCTCTCCCCTGGGGGTTTCTGTAGCAGATTTTCCTATTCTTTTCAAACAATGGTTTCTCTGCGTTGATGGTTGAAGGAAAAAGAAGGTGGGGTCAGAAAGCTCCTCGTGCATGATGTAGAGAGCTGTTGGTTTGCTTTTCTTTGCTTTTTTTTAAGGAACACTCTTTGTAAGATGTTGCACTAAAATGTTTTATATGCATTTCAGAGACCTGTAGTAAATTATGTTGAAAATATGGCTGTTTGCATTACCTGGCGTCCGCTGTCCTCTTACAGAGCAACCCCGATAAAAACAGGTTACGTGACTGTGGGTCCTCACCCACACGCTTAAAGGGACTTACTCATGCTAAACTGCAGACACACGCAAAAGGTTAATCACAGGTTTATTTACCAGGGAAGGGGAAATGAATAACTCAGGGGAAAAGGAGGGAGATAAGCTCGTAATTGCATCCCACCCATTCTGCTGACCTGAAATCCCCATGACCCACCGAGCTGGCGAGAAACCACGTGACATCAGGCCAACAGAGTGACCCCCTAGCCCCCAGCCCCCCGGCCAGATGGCTGGTTAAATACTCAGAAAATCGCTGCTTAACTCCACCCTCAGGTCCACCCAGCCCTCCGTTTGGTGATCATGGGATTTGTAGTTCCCAGAGTCTTGATGGCGTGGGGGTGGAGTCCACTGCAGCGAGACCACAGCATGTTCTGCTAAGTGGGTGGCCTTGCCCTGGCCCCGAAGGCTCAGCAAGCACTTGCAGGATGGAGGAAAGAGCAAGGCCTGGCACCTGTGCCCAGCATCCCAGACCCAGGTCCCCACACAGCTCAAATCTGGGGTGCTTTGGGTTCATCCCATCTGCAAGTTGAGAAGATTGACAATGATTAAAGCACAGCAGTTTTGTGTGATCAGTCTGAGCCCATCTGTAATTCTTTGAAATCCACGGGAGAATACACAAGAGGCACTAGATACAGAGTGAGAGGCTCAGGGAGGTCATCCTTTTTTTAAGATTTATTTATTTATTTATACAAGCACTGGGTACAGTCAGAAGCGCGGGAGGGTGAGAAAATTCACCAGAGCAGAGCTGAGAGCAGAACAGGCAGAGTGACAAAGCACACTGCTGAGGGGAGCAGCAGGCGGCAGGAGAGGTCTGTGCGCCATGTGGGACTCTCGCCTGAGGGCCAGGATCGAACAGGCACTGCAGGGTGCTATGGGCAGCTTCCCAACCCAGCGCTCAGCTGCTGTGCCACTGGGGAGGCCCCTTTTTTTTCTTTTTAAAACCTCAAACTTCCTGAGACTGCAAGATGTGCTGGCCTCTGCCGCCTGCTTATCAACTTCTGGCAGCTGCTGGCTTGGCCAAGAGTTGAGGTGCACTGTCTCTCCCTTGGGTACCCAGCATGGTCTGTGTCACTTTTATGTATTATTTTTGCCTGTTTTTCCTCAAACGCTCTCTGCCAGGAATCCTTTTTAAAAGGGAACTAGGGAACTAGAGTTTGATGAAATAAGCTCGTGCCTATACATCCCCAGGGCAGAGCTGCCCAGTGTTTACATAGACAAGTGATCGTCCCCTCCCACGCTGGGCAGGAGTAGAGGCAGTGCTTTGTCCGCTACGTGCTGGGCCCTGAGTCTTCTGGGCTTTGGCAAGACCCAGAACAAGAGGGATGTGCTAGGAAGAGCAGCAGCCTCGCGCCAGGAGAGCAGCTGAAAAAGCCGCCTCTCTTACCTAGCGGTGACATCTGCAAGGACAAGCAGATGAAACGTGCTCTTTCAACACCAGTTGCAGAATGAAAAATACCGTGAGCCCTTTAGGTGGCAGGTGCTCAGAGCATGAACAGTCCAGGCCCTGAGCCACTGTGATGCTTGGAGTCTGCCAGGCCAGGCACATCGGGGCTCTTATAAATGCATTTCTCATACTGAAGGAGCTGGCACTGCTGCTTGGTCAGAGGCGCGTCCACCAAGGAAGACTAATGAGTCTTTCCTCATCCAATGTCCGGAGACGATGACCTTGGGGGTACTTCCACCCCAGGAAAGTGGGCATTGCTCCCCTTAGCCCTGCTTTTAGGGGGCTGACCCTTGCTGCTAGTCCCAAAGTTGTGTTCCCCCAGGTGAAAGATGAGTGTGATGCCTTGAACTTGGCTTGGGTTGGTCTCGGCCACTCCCTCTGCGTGTCCTCGGGCAGGCATGTGCCCTGAGCCTCAGTTTCCTCCTCTGTAGGCACAGGACAGTGGTCACATCCCGCTAATCCAGGCCGCGCACTTAACACAGGGCACGGATTGGGCTCCAGTTTGATGTTCCATCTTGTCAGACCCCAGCCTCCCTTCTCAGGTTGCCCGAGGTCCTGCCAGCCCCGGGCAGCGGAGGACCCCGATTTCCTCACATCTTGGGGTAAACACTGCACTTGTCATATACCCCCAATATCTACAGATGGTAGGGGGTGTCTGAAGGTCTCCTGCTTCCAGGTAAAGGACTTTGGCTTCTGAAATTTCACCCATGAGAGATGCCTTGTAAGATTTTAGGTTCATTGAAGAAATAGTTCGTGATTTCTGAAAGTACAGGCCACGTGACTTGGATGCTGGGGCCCAGGTGGGGTGCTGGGAGGAGACCCACAGTCAATGGATTTCCACCTGCTTCCCAGCTGCACCTGGTGGCATGTGGGGGGGGCAGGGAGTCCTGGTCTGGGCAAGAGTCTCCACCTGCCTCAGCTGGGCTGGGACAGCTCTGGGCTTCTCTGAAGGAAAAGGGCCCCTTCCTGGGGTGGAGTCCTTGGGTCTGGGCCCCCTGGGGCTGCAGGGGGAGGTGTGGGGGCAAGCCAGTGGGGAACACTGACCAATAAGATGGGGCATTCCAGAGGGCAGTGGCTGCTCTGCAGAGAGAAATTCGGGGAGGCCACTGAGGGGGTGAACTCCTGAGGCCGAGGGAAAAGCCACAGTTGAAACAGAAGAGGAGCCAGAGAGAGTGAGGAGGAGACACCATGGCTGGAATCCAGTTCTGGGCACAAGGAGCAGCTGAGGTTGAGTTTAAGGAAAAGCGGGTGGGGTGCAACAGGCACCCTCACACCCAGCGGTTGTTGGAACAGTCCAGTTTCCTGTTATTCTGACAGGGGAGGAGAGAGCCTGGGCGGGTCTGGCTGCCACAAGGCACAGTTGAGAGCAAGGGGCCGCCCTTCCTGGAGCTGCCCTGTGCTTGGAGGTTTGAAGTCACCGCAGCTGCCAGGGGAGTGGGGAGAGGCTTTTGGGGACTGACACCCCCAATTTCTGCCGCCCCCGCAGCACCTCTGACCCCAGCATAATCCAATCACTGAGGAAACCTGCTGCGGGGGCCGCAGAATAGCACTAAGCTGGCGGTGGATGTGCGCACCCCCAAGAGCAGCTGGGAGGGTTGCAGATGGGCAGGATGGATGTGGGGAGGGACTTGAGCACGCGGGAGGCGGGGCAGCGAATGGGGAAAGGGGTTCAGCTTTGAGCCGCAGCTTTTAAGTGCGCCCTGGGGGCTCAGGGGGTGAGGGCGCAGCTGGGTGGAGCTGACCGCAATTGCCACAGTACCAGTAAGATCCCCGGCCAGGAAGCGCCCCACTGGGGCAGAGACATCACCTGACTCGCCTGCTGCTCCCCCAGTCTCTGATTTGGCAGGTGCCCCTTTTCCTGTAGTTTAGTAAATCTTAAAAAAAAAAAAAAAATTAAAAAACGGCCAGAGCCGCCCTGCCTGACCCTTAAGGCAGGAGGGGTTCCCGCCGACGCACCCCAGCCTGGGTCACATCATGGCCGGCCTCAGGCGCGCAGCGGGGTGGGGTGGGGGGAGGGGAAGGGGCTGCGGCTTGTTCCTCCTGCTCGGTGAGTGACCCCTCGGGCAGAGGCCGCTGTGAGGTCGGTGCTGAGAGGGTGGGGGGAGGACTCCCCGAGCCAGCTGTCCCGGGGAAAGGTGTCACTGCACCCCAACCTTGGGACGCAGGAGGAAACTTCGCCCTGGGGTGTCTGCATCTGGCTGGGAAGAAGTGGTGGCTCCAGTGCTCTCCGCGGGGCTCATCTCTCTCTC